ACACACAGATACACACACACACACACACACACACACACACACACACACACACACACACACACACACACACACACACACACACACACACACACACACACACGAAACTTCCTGTGGTGGAAAACAGAATGCCAGTATCTGCCTTCAGAAAGGGAGGGGGTAGGATAGACGTAGTGTCTCTGAAGACATTTGTCTTTGTTAAGGTTCTTGGAAGGATGGAAGCTACATGAATAACGCTCGAGCCACATCCCTCTTTAAGGGTGCATTCACACCAGCCCTGTTTAGTCCACTTTAATTGAACTCTAGCTCGTTTTCCTAGAAAGTCCGGTTCATTTGGGGAGGTGTGAACGCACCATCGAACTCTGTCACGGAACAAAAAGGCGAACTCTGTCCCGGGCTAAAACCTAGGTCTCAGTCCGGTAGAAGAGAACTCCAGCACGGTTCGAGTGCAGTGTGAATGTAAACAGACCGGGCTCCACAAGCAAGAAGTGGAGTACAACGCAGGACAAACAAACACGCATTTCTCTGACCTTATATGGAGCTGTCAGCTGCCTTGTGTGAAAAACAACATTCTCCATGGTCTTCTGTCTCATCTTCTGCTCATGCTGAGTCCATTTTTGAAAAATGACAAAATATAACTGCTAAAACTTGATGCCACTTTGTTTTTATTTTTATTTACAGAAGAAGAAGAAGACATGTTTTCAGAGGTTTTTGTGTCGTTTCTTTCAGTAGTTCTTGGTGCAGCGCCCCCACAGGTGAGTGGGGGAACAGGATGGTCCAACAGGTTGACTCGACTGCACAGTGCAGTGTGAATGCAAACGCACCAGCTCAAATGTAACAAAATGTCATGATTATTGGTCCAGAACCGAACCGAGTCTACCGGACTTTCAGGTGTGAATGCACCCTAAGTTAAACAACTGATTATTATTGGATGAACTATTGTTTTTGTGTGTGTGTGTGGGTAAATACATTTGAAACTTGGGATAAATTTTGTGGTTGTTTTTTTTTTTTTTAGTTTAATGTTGAGGGTGTTAATCACGTCTGTGTTTTACATCCTTTGTGCGGGTTTTGTGTTCAAGGGTAAACAGATATAAATACACACTTCTTATACGTCAGGAGAGAGACCTGGCTGGCACCCCAAAACCTTAATATCACGTAACCGTTACAGGTTTACCTGGTGAGGCAGGGCTTAAATGGTATTGCGGCCGCCCATCAGGGGGCGCTGGCTCTCTAAGGTTTCAATTTTTACCTTTAGCTCTGGTTAGAAAGAACCCTTATGTATTTCAGTGAAGTTTAAACTGCAGTTTGTTTTTTCCTACATTTAACATGGTTCTGTTCAGACTTTAAAACTGGCTTTTCCTTGGAGTTTCACTCAGGGTTCTCCCAGAGTCCATCTCACCTGTGTTGGCTAAGCCGTCTTGGCTTCTCAGCTCAGTTCAGATGAATTCATTCAACCTTTATTTAAACAAATAAAACACATTGAGCCTCGAAGACTCATTTACAAGTGAGACCTGTTTGGACAGAAAAAAACAGTGGTTAACTGGACACATGTAGGAGTTGGAGGCAAAAAAAAATTCCTATCAGACTTTTTTCTTGCCTGAGAAAAACCTCTAATATTGAAAAAACTCACACAAACAAGCACATATTTACGTAGACATTCTGCATCAGAGACGAGAGCGGTCAACAACACTTATAGATGCTCTCGAGGTCACTGTAATCAGTCAATGTCCTCCGGTGAGATCCATAAACATTCTCGAGGTATGTCGAGGAATGGCCATGAGTAACGTCGATGAGAATCCAGAGTCCTGAAATAATGACACAAAGTTTATTCAGCTGGCTCATCTGGTTATCAGTTGGAAATTCCTCAGGGAGGGGGTGGTGAGCGTCAGATCACATTTTCTCCAGGCGACTTTAGATAAGGTGGCCTTCAAGGACAGCCAAGGCGACCAAAATTTAGATAAACACACAGTTGTTTTGGGGACAGGCAGAATTTAATGCCATCAACCTTGAGTCTGTGTTGGTCCACTTGGTTCCGAAATGTCCAAATTAACATGACCACACCGATAGAACGTGACTGAGTAAAAATCCCCAAGATCTGATCCATTCAGCCCAAAGCATTTGAGTCCGGGTACTCCAGACATGAACCAAGCCATCATAAAGGCAAGCAGCGTGATCGGGTCCAAATTTGCTGCTGACGAATTCCTTGATTGTAGAGAAAACCAGCTTTAGCTTTCTTTAAGTAAAGAAACTGTCCAGATGACCTGACTGAAAATTGTTGGATTGTATACCTGGATTAATGAGTGAGCATGGACTTTTTTGGTATATCTGCTACTCCTCAGATAAATAACGTTAATTGAATTTTTCTGTATGTGAATGTTTTCGTTCAGTGCTCTGAGATAACTTCTGTTGTGACGGAGCTACAGAAATAAACTGAAGTGAATCCCAATTTAAACTACTGAAATAAAAAAGCAGTTTTCTAATGGAAGGGTTCCACTGTCCGAATGACAGAAGTTCTTCAGTGGACCACTGTGGTCAGGGTTTGGATGGGTCTGTGGTTGGAAATAACAGATTTCACATCAGGCTCAGAACAAACTTTATTTTTAATATTTGGGCTCAGAATATTCAAGTGAAGAAATTTATTTCTGCTGCTGAACATTTCCTCACAGAAGTGTGGAGACCTTGAAGAACAGCTCACTGACTACAAACCTCAACATGACCCGCTAGTCCTGAAGATAACTTTCAGACGAGTCTTACAAGGTGAAGTGTTTCAGGAGGTCTTCCAGCGGCTCATAACAAGACGTAGCGGACGAGCCCCCCCCCCTCGCAGCTCCCGGAGGCGCTGGCAATGTCGCAGCATGCTCAGAATCCCCTGACAGCGTTTGTCCACCTTCATCTGGGTGAATTCACGGATGTCCTCCTCCACAATAAAACACCGACCTGGAAGACATTATAACACCTCACTAAGATCTGCTTCAAATCAGAATCTGGTCTTCAGCAGCAGCTCTTAAAGGGGTCCAGATTGGACCTGAAGTGATGTGTGTGGTGGTTTCCAACCATGCCACCGTGCATTATGGGTCAGCATCTTTACATTGACCCAGAAGTCTTCAGATGAATCTTTACAAACCTTAAGAGAGAAGAGGCTTTCTGCTGCAGCCCGTAGAAACACCCCCCTCCACCCGACCACAGAACACCTCAACAGAAGCTTTCATCAGAATCAAATATGAAGATTCTTCTACATTTTGAGGACTTTCAGTGTAAGAGTTTTTCATTTGTTATCACTTTTAAACTGCTTCATGATTTCTATACTTCTATGCATACAAAGCAAAAAGTTTCTGGAACTATCAGTCCACGTCCGAGCTGATAGTAATTCTCTGTATTTACATAAACTGTTTTTATTTAGAACTGTTTGTTAAAAACCAAACATGTCAAAGTTTAAACATCAACTAGTATTCCAGCTATCTTGCACTGTCATTGTTTTTCTCCTCACCCTTTGATACAGATGGTGTCAGAAACTCATTACAATAAGCATTTATTCAACTGAACTTGTACAAGATGTTTTGTTCTGATCAAAGAGTGTTTCCAAGCCAAACACTTATTGATGCAAAACTGATGTGTCACTCTTACCAAATAAAAAGTCAGTTCTAACAGCAAGGCTTTGGAGTTCACCTCTGGTTTCAGACCAGAGGTGGATTTCTCTCTCTGCAAAGAGCGTTGGCCAAAAATCTTACTCTGTCTTGTGTGGTGTTTTTTTTTCTGTTGGGTACGAGAGAAAATACCTAATATTCAGAGCCTCTCATATTCACAGATATTCAGATTGGTTTAAAATGACTAAAATCTCCAGTACTCTCCAGTATGTACTGGCAGTTTGTGATGGTCTGACGGAATAAATGATAAATACAATTAATTAGGTTCAACATTTGTTGTAGAATGATGTTATGGCCTGTAGTATGTCATATAGGGATATATATTCATACTTTTTCACAAGTTCCTCATCTTTCTGACTGTGTAAATGTCGTGCATTGAATTTTAACAGAAATGTAACGAGAGACGTTATTTATCTTTGACCCATCAAAATGAATGCGGTCATTTATTTTCAGAATCAAAGTTTAACATCAAACATTTACATTAATTTGGCAAAATATGAAAATAATAACAGACAAGTTTCACAAATAATGGACTTCAATCACACGGCGGTGATCGAGGACTTTGCTTCAGATATTTCTAAAATATCTGTACTGATTTTAGGAGAAAGCAGAGTTTAAGATGGAAATGGAGATTTATCTTACAGAGAGATTTGTGAGGGAATTAATCTGTTTGACCAGAAACGTGCACGCTCCTTCAGATCTCAGCTTGCGACGGTACGCTTGGTCGAAGTAGAATCGTTACCTGGTTGATGATAAATCAGCTCGGTATAGAATCCTTCAGACTCTTTCAGCGTCTCCGTTGAGAGCAGCTGAAATCCTTCGAGAGTCGTGCGAGGTTTTTCAAACAGGAGTTATAATCCCAAAACGTCTCTGGATCATCCTGAACGCGTTTGCATCCAAGAACTCTGAACTCCCATCACTCTTCAGCACTCTGTGTGGAACTCTCAGAGCTCTGCAGCATCAGACTCTTTTTAGCTCCATTAATCTTCAGCGTCTGGCTTCAGACTTCAGACTCTGTGCACTCTCTAGTTGAACTCATTCCTGAGCGCAACAACTGCAGCAACTGGGAAGTTGCCACATTTTAAATGGGTCGACTTCCGGGTCATTTGAGAGCTTTTTGATTGGTCGATGGACCAGGAAAAGGTGTGGTTTGTGATGTAAGGTGTTATCAAATTCGAGGTCAGAGAATGAGATTGTTCAACAACAGACAGAGAGATTATTGCAGAAAACCAGACTTCGTGGAGTCAAACTCTGCTGTATCTTCTCAAATAGTTAAACATGACATTTCTTCTCAGTAAACATTTTAGTTGACCGAGAACCGACCTTTAACATACTTACAACCTGGCAGAAAATCAAGAAATGCATATGATATAGAAATTATTATTTTAATGCTTTTATGCCAATCTAGACCTATATTATACTTATTTAAACACACTTATACTCACTTTTGATGCAGCTTATCTGCTTATTCAGTCATTCCTGTGCTGCAGATGTGTTTTGGAGTAATTAAAGTCCTCCGGGGGATGCTCTAACCAGAAGATGGGGCCCCGTTTTCAGGTTACAGTGACCCAGGTTTTGAAGGACATGTTTATATGAAATCGCTCTGTTGCACAGATTGCTTTGATGAAGGAAAAACAGATTTAATTAAATCTGTTCTTCTGGTAACCATCAAACTGGCTTTGATCTGCTCTCACGCGATCAGGGAAGCCTTTATAAGAAATGTATCAGACACAGAGAGTTAGAAGTCTTGTTCTGGACCAGCGCGCGGTGCCAGATCGCCTGATTGAGTTCTCCTCATTGGATCGAAAGGCTTCCCGATCATTTTGTCACGGTGAGGGATACTCATATCAATTTGTGTGTTAAGAGTGTACATGACTCTTTTGCTTGGCTGTTATTTCTTGTGGCAGATTAATAAATGACAAATATTATTCTAGCAAGTTACAGTCTGTGTCTTTTATTTTTTCCTTCTGGTCTGAATATCTGTGCCGACCGTTTCACGAGCCCTTTTGATAAAGAATTTCACAATACAGCATATTAACCTGATTTCTTCTTTGAATGAGGAATAAAAATCATTACTTACTGTTTATGTAAAATAAAAATGAGTAGTTTTCTTCAACCTGTAAACATTGAGTGAACTAACACAATTTGATTATCAAACATTTGTAAAATAGTAATGATCATAGAGGATTGTCTTTTCTACTTGATTAATTCAAGGAAGAAAGTCTCCAGATGGCTCAAACTGTATTTCTGGATGCAGATCAATGAAATAACAGTCTCTGTCCATCTGGTCAGTTCTTAAGGTCGAGTGTTTCGACCTTAGGCTTATTACTTCAGGTTAGGTTCACTACAGGCCTGAGGCCATTTGGTTGAGCAAAAGTGTTTGCAGGTTGGTTGCTGACTCAGCTGTGCTGTGGCCCATCTGGGATTGGCTGCTTCACTTCCTGAATGCTCCCCAGTGGACGTCAATCTGCATCCTGATTGGCTTCTTCACCTCCTGCTCCTCCAACCACAGAAGAGGCCTGCCTATTTAAACCCAGCTCTCCTACCATTCAAGGCGGACTCAGGACTCAGACTCGAGGGACGCAGACGGAAACCCCTGCGTGCGTTGGTCCTGGAAGTGGGTGAGAACGTTTTGAAAAAAGTGGCTGATTTTTCATTGAAGAAAGAGTGTTGGAAGAAAAGAAACAAGCGGTTTGGCATAAACTGGTTTGTGACTGGGCCAGAATGGCAGCTCAAGTTGAGGAAGATGATGAGGATATGGATTTAAATGATTGGAGTCAAGTTGTTAGTGGAAGAAGAGGAAGAATCGGGCGAGAAAATGACTGTTTGGTAGGGACACATGTTGGTAAAAGGACGTTGGAAGAAAATAGTTCAGATGAAGGGACACCTGTGGTCCGCAAAAAGATTCTTAAAGAGGAAATTAAAGTTATTCTGAAATTTAAAGGACAACAACATACAGCTGGGTCCAATTGCATTATCAAAATAACTCAAAAGAAGATTGGAGATATTTCTTTTGCAAAAACACTTAGAGATGAGAGTATATGTTATGTATGTTTTATGTTATGAGTGCTTAGTGTATATTTAGTTGATGTTTTTCTTAGTTCATATCTTAGATGTTATTACTGTTTTTCTTATACATTTTATTGTTGGATGTAACTGGGACCCTGTGGACATAATTTCGCTCCACCACATGTACCACATGAGGTGCGAATGACAATAAAGAATCTCTCTCTCTATACTGGTCATCTGTAAAACTGAAGAACAGAAAAAAAGCACTGAATATTGAAAGTATTTGTAGAAAAAATGTGAGACAGAAAAGGATTTTAGGAGAGAAGAAATTAACGAGGGGCGTGATAACTGGAATACCAGTAAATGAAGATCTAGAAAAGCTTAAAAAGAGCATTCAGGGTGCAGAGGTGAATCAGATCAAAAGATTAATAAGAACAATAAATGGAGAAAGAACTGAAAGCCTGTCGATAATGATTAAATTTCAAAATAATGTACTTCCAGAGAAGGTTAAGATCGGGTTCATGAGCTTTCCAGTTAGGCCTCATGTCCCTCCCCCACTCAGGTGTTATAAGTGTCAAAGATATGGACACATTGCAGCTGTGTGTAAGGGACGGCAAAGGTGTCCAAGATGTGGGGGTGATCACAGATATGAGGAGTGATCACAGATATGAGGAGTGATCACAGATATGAGGAGTGATCACAGATATGAGGAGTGATCATAGATATGAGGAGTGATCACAGATATGAGGAGTGATCACAGATATGAGGAGTGATCATAGATATGAGGAGTGATCACAGATATGAGGAGTGATCATAGATATGAATGATCATAGATATGAGGAGTGATCATAGATATGAGGAGTGATCACAGATATGAGGAGTGATCACAGATATGAGGAGTGATCACAGATATGAGGAGTGATCATAGATATGAGGAGTGATCATAGATATGAGGAGTGATCACAGATATGAGGAGTGATCACAGATATGAGAAGTGATCACAGATATGAGGAGTGATCACAGATATGAGGAGTGATCACAGATATGAGGAGTGATCACAGATATGAGGAGTGATCATAGATATGAGTGATCATAGATATGAGGAGTGTGGTGACACTGCTCAAGATAAATGTTGTAATTGTGGGGGACAGCATAGAGTGACTTTTGGAGGATGTGAAATTAGGAAAAAGGCCATTAAAGTGGAGCAAATTAAAACCGTAAATAATATCAGCTATGATGAAGCTGTGAAAAAAGTTCAAGAACAAACTGGAAGGAGAGAGATGA